CTTGCACTTAATATTGTATTTGTGTTATACATATAAATTCATGTCAAAGATATTTTGCATAATGGATAAAACATTGTATTACGCACATATGAAAATAAATAATACAAACTTATGCTTATAACTTGCAACTTAATGTACAAACACACTTCTTGTGCACACATAATGTAGTTGGAGTTGACAGCAATTGTAAGCAATTCATATTAAGTTGTTTTCCATATAATATTATATATGTTTATATAATTGTTCTATATACAGTACCAGATTTTCTTATAATGGCTAAACATTATTGGTATACCTACCGAATTTTTGTAGTGAATAATTCGTTTACAAAACTATTGAAAAAAAAATAAATATTGCAATAACCATTGATGAAAAATTAGAGGGCTCATTCATTTAATTTTTTGCTTACTGTGCAAGCTAAAGAAGTAGCTTTTGCTCTTTTTATCAAATTTCTTCTGCAACGCTTTTCTCTAAAATTTTATATTTATACTCAATATCGTGTTCAAAATTTGAAAATATCGTCTAAGTCTTAGCCATCTTACAGAATTAATGAATTTTGTCCATTTAATAACAATATTTTTGAATTTTGAACCATATTTTATTTCAATTTGCCGAAAATAAAATTTTACTGAAAATCTTCCTGAAGATTTTTTCAAAACAGTAAAAAAAATTTCTAATTTTCTAAAGAGAATTTAACAACGAATCTCAGTGAGTACCAAAATTTTCAATTTAAAATAGCGCCGCTTAAAAAAAAGTATTTCTACTATGTAATCACAAAAGTTGTCTTCTATATACATATATTACAAACCACATACACTATGGTTTCAGAATGTTTAAATTGTGTACAACAATACAATATAAGAATAGTAATAATGCACACACAATAATTAAGCAGAAGCATACGCTATAAAATGATTACTATTCAAACCACCACAGTAAATTTTTTAGTTTTTAAAAATTTGAAAGGATTTCGTTAAACATCAACCGCATACACCTGATTTCTTATGCAGTTTGGGAACGAATTTTGATCTTACAATATTAAATTTATTTTGGATTTATCGTCATGATTTGCCACTGTTAACACATTTATACGTATTTTAACACAGGATTCCTTAATATTTTATTTATCGTTTTCTCTCTCACAGAAAAAATGGATTTTTATTTAAAAATAAAAGAAAACCTTGACTGTTCTTTTAACTTTAGTTGGATTTTTCTCTTTAATTTTTTATTAATATTATATCTGAATTTTCCCCATTTTTTCTTTTGTTCCTTTTTATGTTTATTTGTCCTAAATTTTATGTATTTTGAAGGATTCTTTTTGGTTTTGTTTATTCAGCAAAGTAATTACATTTTCCTTTCGCTTTTATTATACTAAGCTGTTAGTGCAATGCATTTTATACACTTTAGAATGCATTTTGAAATTCAAATAAATTCTTTCATATTTATGGAAGAAAAATATTTAAAAATAAAATCACTGCTTTTCCAATTCATTATTCAATTACAAAGCATTATATGACTCACTAGCTATGGCTTATGTATTAATAATATTGAATATTGCAAGAGCTACAACATATCAACTTTGAATAATTATTCATGTTTATAAAATAATTTGTAAAATTTTATTATTAAAGCACTCTTAAAAGCAGTACCTTTTTATTATGCGTTTCTTAGAATTTGAAACGAAGTTCAAACATTGAAACAAAATAAAATTTTTTTATATTGTATAAATTTATTAAAAGAGCTTTTAATTCATATTAGTAATTAAATGTATTTATTAAAACAAAATTTAGTTTTTTTTTTATTTTCCTTCGATTAAATGTGTTAGGATTTGCTTTTCCGCAAAATAAAAATTTTATTCAAGTTAATTGAATATTACTTCCTTTTATAAAACTCTTGGAATATTTCATTTCATCTTGTGCCTCTAATAAAGTTTTTCCTTTAGTTTCTGGCAATTTAAAATAAAATACTGTTCCAATTATAATTTGTATTGAACCTGTTATGAAAATATATATTAACAAGTGCTCATACGAGACAGTGTCCGAAATGATGATATAAATTAAATATTCAATTACAATAATAATTGCATTAATATTAGATTTTCTTGAAAAATCAAATACTTCTGACATGTATGTGTAAGTAACACTACTAGCACCTAATCCAATAAATATATTGTAAATAACGACAAATATAAGAGATATATATATTTCATTATAAGGTGAAAATAAAAGTGTTAATTCGCCCACAATCAAAAATATTCCACTTCCAATTAAAGATGTTGTAAAAAGTTTTTTTCGACCAAAACTTTCTATAGAAAATATTGGTATCATATTTCCAACAAATCTAATAAAAAACATTGTTATAATAATTATTGGTGCTGGACCAATATAACTTAAACGTATAAAATATAAACTATCAATTGCGACTGATGTTCCTAAAGCATAAGCAAATCGGCAAAAAAATATTTTTATAAGTGGACCAAAATCTTCATTCTTAATAATATTATTTGTTTTATTGGTTACAATAATTTTCATAGTTTCTAATTCATTTTGAATTTCTGGTTCAGTAGATTGTGGTCCATTCTTTAATTTGATCATATTTTCAATCGCAAGTTGTTCTTTATTTGTTTCTAATAGAAATATTGGTGATTCGTATCCAACACAATTATTAAGCATTAAAGCTAATAATCCACAAAATATTCCATTAATTCCAAATACTACATACATATTCCTATTAAAAGAATTGTAGTATGGTGGAGAACCAAGAAAAATTATTGTTAGACCCATAGGTAATACATTATTAAAAACCATTACCGTAGCTACGCCAAAAAGTAATCCACAATCAATAGTGGATTGTATATTACTAATAATAAATCCACGTAAATTGTTAGCGCATATCTCTCCACAATGTATAATGTAAGTTAAAAGTGTAAGACTAAAAGAAACACCAAGAAAAAACGATCCAGCACATATAGTGTAATAAGGGATTATGTTTCCCAAACAGAATAGTAATCCACTTATTGTTAGAAATCCTGCAGATATAGCCTAAAATAATATCAATTTATTTTTATTAAAAACAAACACCTAAACTGCAATATTAAAATATATATTAATTTGCTTTCTCATATTCAAATTATTAATTTAAATGTAATATTTTTAAGGAGAAATAAGATACCTGTTACACATCAAATATTATTTTAAATTAAATCATAGATTTAGTCTTATGCGTAACTGGCACCCAAAAGGAAAAAATGTCGCTTCTTGCTCTTTCCTTAAAATTCATGCTTTATAATCAGAATATAAGTAAGAGCATAACAATATACAATAAAATCACTTTTTTCAATATCATACTTACATAAATCGTACGTTTTGTAACAACGTTTATAAATTTTGATTGAAAAATAGCACAAAAAATTACTCCTGAATAAAATAAAGTTTGAAAAATATGGGCTTCTGATTGAAAAATAGTAAACGTCACTATTGAGGGTAAAATAAACTGACATCCAAATATAATTATAATAGCTGTAATAAATTAAGTTAAAAAAAATATTTACTTATGATATTCAAATAAAATGAATGAAAATATGATTTAACAACTAATTTTTGCATAAATTTTTACTTAAAATATTTCAGTCCTACTTTAGTTATAAAAAAATATCCTTACAATTGAAATGTACATATTTGATATTAGGACTTCTTTTTTAAGTAAGTTCATGTTAAAATATTTACCTGGTAAAAAAGTTAAATATTGACGCCTGTATTTTATGATACGTTTTAATAAACCCATATTGACGGGCCCAGAATCAATGTTTGTTTTTTCCATATTTAAAAACTTAAACAGCTTAGGGAACAGCTCTAATAATAAAATAATTTTTGCAGCTCTAATATATTGTTGTTCCTAGTGTCATTGAGAATATATGTGAGACTATTTTTCTTCTTGTTAAAATAAAATCAAAAATTAAATCAAAATTTAACAAGCTTACGAAATATTTTTGAAAGTATAATTTAAATTTTGTTTTGTACAATAATTAATTACGTATGTGAAAATTATTTTCATATATGAAAATTCTGCGGTTTATGGCACAAAATTTTTTATTTGTTTTTTTTTTTTCATATAAATTGGAAAAACATTTTAACTTATGAACGTGATTGAAATTTAAAATAATTTTTTAAATTTTTAGAACACTTAACTAAAATTTTGGAACAATTTTATTAAACTAAAAATATTAAATTTAAAAAATTTATTTGAAATATTTTTCAAATCAAATATGTGTACATCATGCTCAATTTACTAAAATGCTATAATTTTATACAAGTAAAAAAGGTAAAACCTCTTAATGAATATGAAGTATGACACTAACATCAGTCATAACAATAAATACAAATTTTTAATTTTCATTTATGGTTAAAATAATTTTAATATAAGTACTTAATTTTATTTATACATATATGTACATACAATTATCATACAAAATCTAATATTTAAATTTTATTCAAAAAAATTTTTCTCCTTCATTTTTTCTTCCGCTTCTAATAATGTTGTTCTTTTTGTCTCTGGTAAACAAAAATATGATAAAATACCCATAATAAGTTGTATTATTCCAGTTATATAAATGAAAATTATTATATAAATTTCAGAAAAAGTTGTTATAATAATAAATTGTACAATATACTCGATTATTAAAATTAATGCATTAATAAAAATTTTTCTTGAATAATTGAAAACTTCTGACATATATGTATAAGTAACGGTACTGGAACCCAATCCAAGAAATATATTAAATATGAAAGCAAAAATTCTAGAATATTTATAATTATCTAAATCAAAAAATATATCAAAAGTTTGCGTTATAATCAAAAATAAACCACTTCCAATAAATGATAATAGAATAATTTTTTGACGTCCAATTGTTTCAATAAAAAATATTGGTATAAAATTCGAAACGAATCTTATAAAAAATGTTATTATTAATAGAAAACTTTGTTTATAATAAATTAAATTTGCTAAAAATCCAATAATTGGTATTGATGTTCCTAATTGATATGCAAGACGACAAAGAAAAATTTTCAAAATTGATTCCATATCACCCAATTTCAACAATACATTAGATTTATCTTTTAAAATATATTTAATTGTATCCAATTCATTTTGAACATTTGGATTCGTATTATACGGTTCTTTTCTTAATTTAAACAAAATTTTTAAAGCATTTTCTTCATTCTCATTTTCCAATATGTAAAATGGTGATTCATAAACTAGAAAAAAAATTAATATCATTGCAATGATTCCATCAGCCACATTAAAAATCCAAATCCATAACAAATCATAATTTAATTTTAAATCTTCTCCGCGTATAACAAATGGTGTTGCAAGATGTGATACACTGTGAACTAATCCAGCATCAATACTACATTGTAAAAATCCAATAATAGAACCACGTAAAAATTTTGATGAAATTTCACCACAATGAATAATATATGTTAATAATGATACGCCAAATGATAATCCAGAAAAAAATGATGATGATTTAATAAGATCTTCGTTATCTAGATAATCATATGCACATAATAAAAGACCACTAGCAATTAAGAAAAAACTTGACATTACCTATAAATGAAATTTAAAAATTGAATGTAATTAAATTATTTTTAGGTTTAAATTCGAAGTTATTGCAATTTTATAATGTGACCGATTAAATAAAATTATTAATTTTTATTTAATTAACAATAACACCCTCAATAAACAATGATAATTCTACAGACTAGAGGGATTTATCGAGAAATACTGTTATAGACCATCAAAATTCAGTACATTTAATTTGTTGGGAATTTTAAATCATACGACTTCCTAATTTTAAATTACAAAATTCCGACTTAATCATGATTTTAGCAATATATTTTTTTTTAATTTTTCCAGCATAATTCATTTTTAGCATTATTAAATTATAAATTAAATGAAATTTAATAATAAAATTGATTAATCAAATTAAGCAAATTTAATAAATTAATTCACTGAACTTCAAATTTTAATGAATCGTCTTATCATTTATTCGAAATTGAAATTATGCAAATTCATTTGGAATTTACAACCCGCTCTGACTTATACCAATGGTAACTACAATATTATAATAAATGATTAATATAAATCTTAAATAAATTATTTATAATTATATTTATGTCGTATATATACTTACATAATGAACATATTTACGTAATATGCTGAGAAGTTTTATCTCCGCAAGTAAGCCTAACACAATACCACCAAAGTATAATGATTGAGATTCATAATGAAGTTTAGTACCATATGATTGAGCACTGGTAATACCTAATACAAGTTGGCTGCCCATAATGATTAATATTGCTGTTAAAAAAAAGGAATATAATCATTTAAAGAGTATATTGTAAAGAAATAACAACGGAACTACATATGGTGTATGTAAATATCACTTTTAACTCTTATATTCTCAGTAATCATATTTTAAAATTGATTGATTTCATTGATTTTTGAAATTACAATTTTTACTGCCTTTTATTAAAAACTTTATCAAATTTATACGTCTAGAAAACGTATAACAGCAAAACCAGTTAAATTCAAGTGAAAATACATATAAAATATATATATAGGTAACCTGCATAGGTATAGGAATATAACTTAGAATCACTTCTGTTTAAGCAACAAATTAATAACTGAAGTTCCAAGACGTTTAGAGCTCCAAGATGTGAAATATTTCTTTTAAATTATTTGGAGTAAAAAACATGAAAATTTTTTGTTTTGGGCAGGTTATTTGTTTTTTATTTAAAAAGAAATTTAAATGCAAATTTTACTGTACCCACTTAGTTACCTGGCAAGAAAATTGCATATTGTTTCCCATAAACTTTGATACATCGGCAAATAAAATTGACAAACGATGTAAATTTTTTCAATACTCTGAGAATAAAATTAATTATTCTTCTCAAAATATTTAAAATTTCTTGCAATATATATGTTATAAAAGATTTTAATTTAACAAACGGATACAAAATTGAATCTGTTATATTGTCCATTTTTGAATAAATCTGAATAATATTTTAAAAGTTACTTATTGGAAATTCACAATTTAACTATTTTTCTCTACAATTTTAATGTCATATAAAAAGTTTTGAATTTAAAACAGGAAGTAAACATTAAAATTTAATAGGTTTGCTGACCAGTAACGTATTGAAAAATAATTCTATATCGTACTTTAATTTAATATTAAAATAATATAATAATCATACAGTGATACATACCTACTATTCATGAAGTGCCCTTTATGATCAAATCCCTCACATTATAATGATTACATCGTGCATGTGCATTGCTATTAAATAACACACTTCGGTTTACAGTTTAGATTTTTATTGTGCTACCTAAATAAAAGCTATCAGCTAGCTACATTTGCGCATTATCTTAAAAACTTGTTCAAACTTTAATTTAGAATTTTTTTTGGTAAGTCGTTGAACAACATCTTAACCTCGTTTAATTCATTTTAATGAAAATTTTCGCTTACATATTTTAGATTTTGTAGTTCTAATTTATATCACAAATTTGGTGGCAACTTATAAGCGAATGTCTAAAATTTATTAGTTGATTTAAACAAATGCATTACAATTAAAAACACAAGGAATTTAATTTGTTATTTAAAGAGCAATTTTTCGGAGAATATGAGGCTGCTGTTCCCAATTCGACTCTGACTCAAAAATTTGTATTTTCATTAATGTACATATGTACATATGTATGTACGTATATTAATACTCAGCATTTTCATTGTATACATTTTAATAATTTTAGCTTATAATTTATTTTTGTATATTATGAGTAAAAATAAAAATTCGAAATTCATTGTTTTTTACATACCAATTACAAAATGTGGTTAACGAATTTCATACTTTTGTTAATAAATTATGTGGGTTGATTTATAAAAATTTATGATTAAATTAAATTTTATATTTAAAAGAGAAAATCGTTGATTATACTAAATTTTGAATGAAAATGATTTTTAATTGAGTTTTTAATAAATACAATGCAATGTAGCTGTCAACTTTGAACTCTCTATTTCTAGACGTAATCTAAATCAATGGCTCTCAACCTTTTTCAGTTTGCGACACGTAAAAGTAATTTAAAAACAAAATAGCATACTTTTCATAAAATAGTTTTCATTAATTCTTTTACTTTGGTTTTATGTTTACAATGTTTACAAGAAAAATAAGCAGAATTGTCAATTCAAACCGTAAGTTATGTATTTAAGGTGAAAACAGAACAAAGCCATAATGGAAGTAATTGTCAATATCATATGTTTTGACATTCGTATATGATTTTAACGTTTGACAGCTTATTAGAAAACAGAAGAAAAAATCGAAAGCAAGTAGTTAATGACTGAAAAATTAAAATAAGCTAAATTTAGGTTCGCCGAAATTTTTACATAAACATATTAACATAATATTATCGATTTTTAAGCGCGTCTAGGACAATTATAAATGTATTAACTTTCAAAAAATAATTGTGACTTAATTAATTTTTTGTAGCACTTGACAAAAATAAAAACGAGGAAGATATTTCATTAACAAAGCCATACTTAGATAGTAGGAAATCTTCAAAGTCAAATTTTTTTATTAAAAAAAAGTTAATAAGAAAATACACATGCAATATCGGACCGGACCTAGACTCAGAGAGATTTTACATCTTACAACATACATTTAAGATCAAACTATGATATAACTTGCTGTATAGGGAGAGTAATATTTGATTCTTTTTTGTAACAAAATATACAAAAGCAAAGAATAAACACAAAATGCATAAATTAAGGTAGGTATGTATGTACATTTATTTTTGAATGCAGTCTATATGCTATAAGAGTATACGTACGTAAACACTTGCCAGCGACATTTACTTTAGTATAATTTTTCAGGATATACATACTGTTAAGTATCGTGCAATCTATGTATTTATTTTCACATTGTAATATTAACGATAATTTATGCGAATATTTTTTACAAAATCTTCATTTTCTAATAATACTTTCGGCTTCCATTAAAGTTTTTCCTTTTGTTTCTAGCATTAAAACAATTGATAAACCACCAACCAACAACTGCATAACAGCTGTAAAGGCAATCATACCAATAACTAATGTAGATCTTTCTAAAGAAATGTTATTTATTGACAGGTGGGCCACATATTCCATTGCAATAATTAATGCATTAATATAAGTTTTTTTGGAATACTCAAAAACTTCTGACATGTATGCATAACCAGCACTACTTGAACCTATACCTAGGAAAACGTTGTATATGAATGCCATAACGGTAACAAAATATATTTCAATTTTTGGTACGTATGTGCCAAAGAGGAATATTGAACATATTGTTAAAATTAGAAATATTCCAGAACCAATAAGTGATGATACCAGAATTATTTTTCGTCCTACTTGATCAATCTTTAAAATTGGTACAATATTAGCGATAAATTTTCCAAAAAACATTGCCAATGTTATAAATTTTTGATTGAAATCAAATATCGCCAAAAATATAGCTGATATAAATATTGAAGTTGATAAAGAATAAGCTAAACGACAGAAAAAAATTTTTAATATAGGCTTCACATCTTCTCTCTTCATCATTGAACTCGATTTATTGCCCAAAATTAATCTTATATTTTCGATTTCAGTGCGAACATCGTAACATGCTTCATTTAGTTCTTTTTTTAATAACGTTATATTTTCGATTGCTTTACTTTCTTTACCCATTTCAAATAAGTAAATTGGAGATTCATAGACCAAAAAGTGAGCTGCAAAAATTGCCAAAACTCCAAAAACTATTTGCAGTGATCCAATTATTTCAAATGATTTGTCTGTTAAAAATATATTTTGATTAGTAATTAATATTAACATTCCCAAAAATACTCCAAAATCAATAGAACACTGTATATAACTGGCAATTGATCCACGAAGATATTTTTGTGATACATCACCGCAATGCGTAACATAAGTCAAAACGGAAATACCAAATATTAAACCAGAAAAAAACGATGCCGCACATATCAAATCCACATTTAATCTATTGAACTGTTGATCATACGAGATAAATAATGATCCATTGATTATTAGAAGTACTGCAGCTATATTCTGAAATAAATTCAAAGTATTACGTGATATGGAAAATCAAACTATGTACATATCTCAACTATAAGTACGAAGTTGAAATATGTATGTATGTATTATTTGTTACATATGCAATTAGTTTATACTCACATAAAAAATTCTTTTCTCAAGTATCCTTAATAATATTGATAATATTATGACACTAACAATAATTGCCGCACAAAAAAGTGACTGAAATCTAGTCAAAAATTCACCATATAAAGATAAAATTAGAATTGTTGCAATTGACATCCCACATCCGGTCAGTGATAGGATAGCTGTTAATATGAAAGTATAAAACATTCGAAAAAATATTAGGTTGTTATTACAATTTACAATAATCTTTATTACATAAGGTGCACTAAACTTCTAATAGAAATGGCGTGCACTTTTAGTATATAGGAAATTATTTCTGTTCAAATTAGTGTGCCGAATGTAGAATTACTTGAACCACAAAATTAGTGCAGCACTAAGTGTTCATACCAATTAACTAATTAAAATTAGTTCTCATACCAATTTCCCAATGTTGTTGATAAGTTAAAATGTTTATAAATAAAATTGAATGACAACTCTTCTTTTAGAATATTAATGCACTGCAGTTCTCGCAGTTCTATACTCGTACTACTACCACGATACATTATTGTGTTTATGAAAATCCCTAACATACTTATAATTCATTTTTTTAATTTGATAGTTATCTATTCGTATTTCGTACGTACTTACCGGAAAGAAATGTCAATGACTGTCTTATATATTTTCCACTAAACTGCAGAGAACTGATATTAGGTATATTTATTGTCTCTTGACTTGCATTTTCATCCATTATTGTTTTGGTAAATTTAATTTTAAAACTTTGCAAAGGAGAATTTTGCGATAATATGAGCTGTTTTATTTAATTTAAAATCAATTGATTACTGACGAAACATTTAGGTGTAAGAAAAAATTATTTAGCAGTTAGTTAAAATATTTGAGGTAAACAAAGAAAGAAAATATTATAAGAACCAATATAGTGCTTTTCCAGCAAATCAAAATAATCGACACAATTATTATAACAAAGGATGATTTTCTGATAATTGAATAAAGTAAAATATTGTTAAACATTCAACTATACGAACTTAATATTTTAATTTTTGATAAAATTTTACCATATTACCATTAGGAAGGACAAAATTAGGATTCAATATCATTTTAAGACAGAAAAAATCATATAAAAACCTACTCGCTTATATTATATTTAAAAGACCAATATTAAACTGGATCATTTTTTACCAAACTGTTTCAATTTGGAGATAGTCAGATTTATAAATGAATAAAAAATGCACCAGACTATTATGCTTTTTGGTAAAAGAAACTTTATTACGGTGGTTGTGTCTTATTTAAATTTTTTAATATTAATAAGAAGACATAAATTTTGTATTGTTGGTTATTCAAACAAACTAATTTATATTTTAACCACATTTCGATAATAAAAACAAACATCTACATACAGTATCTACATATATATAATTTATTACAAAACGTAAAAATAATAGCCCTTTTCATAAACGCAGTGTATGACGATATATAACAAAAATTTCGCTATATTTGAGTTCAAAAACACGGCTAATTTTTCACGCAAAAATATCGAAATTAGTATGAGCAACGCAGTTAAATCATATGAACTATTTTAATACATTAATCAACTGTTGTTTATAGAGTAATTAAAAATATACTACATATTAATAATGTAATGTTTTTTGCAGTATTGCTTTTATGAAAATCTCTACAATAAGTTTAAACATGCAAAAAATATACTTTACATGGGAAACCACAAAATAATACTTTGCATTTGTGGATTTGCAATTCAGTTGAAGCTTTTACGACTTCACTTCTGACAATCTATGTGTAAACAAATACTATTTGAAACCTATATTTGAAAATATGTCTTAATAATGTCATTATTCTAGTAGAATAAAAATTTTTCGTGCATCTCCCCTATCCGTTAAGTTACAGTTCCTTAAATTCATGAAAATTAGCACATTTCTTTTAACCTTCAGCCCATTATCTGTCGATCAAAAATATTTTGTGGTTTATTGTTATAATATGATTTTTAACTTTGTTCATTATTAACCACTATTTCTGCATATGAATACAATTGTACATATTTACAAGTATGTTTACATTGCTTAAAACTAACTAAACGCGGTATAATATTGTAAACAAATATGTCGAAATATATAAATTAACAACGACTTTTTGATTTTCTATTAACGCTGTAATTTTTCTGATCCACAGTAACTCATATTTATAGATTAATCTTATCATTAATATTTTATTAATATACCTAATAATAAATATTTTCTTTTATTGCAACAAAACTTTTCAAAATTTGTTTGCCCTCTCAAGTCTCAGCTTGCCAAAGTTTGCCAAAATTCAATTTTCGACAAGAAATAAGGGGTCGCCCTTTATGGTCTTCTTACCCAAAATTATTCTCTTGTGCGTTAAAAATAAAAGACATATCATGGTTAAATTTTTTGAGAATTTTTTGGATTTCTCCCAAATTTATGCAACATTATAAGTATATCATTAACATTGTGAAATAAATTATTGAAAAAGATATGTACATATAAAGATTGAATTATTTCAATAAATTTTTGCTATAACTTCGACATAAAATTACATATATGTATATAAAAAATGAAAAATGTTGGACTCAAAAGATCTGCATATAAGCGATTTAAGAGTTTTTAAACTAAATTTCTAAATTAAATCTTTAGAAAAAATTTGAGACAGTTGCAACTTAATTTTGATTTAAAAACATATTAATTTAAGATTTTCAAAAATTTTACTCTTACAACACAAGCCATGAATTTTCACAGTCGTTTTGACACGTGAACATATTCTGTGATTTATATAGTTGCATGTAATAGTTCAATTTAAAAAATAGATTAATAACAAACAAAAGCTCTGAATTAATTGGTGTTTCACGTGCACTCAAATTAATTTATTTTCGAAACGAAAAGGGTGCTAAAAAAATTGTGTAATATTTTTTATATAGTTATTTAAATGAAACTTTAGTTCGTTTCTAATCTTGGCGAACTTTAATATAAAAATCGAGAATAATAAAATTTAATTTTTGGAAATATTTCTCCAAAATTTTAAAATAAAACATAATAGCAAATTTTTCGTTTTGTAATTTTCTTTTTATCTTAGTAAATAATTGTCTAAATAAAATTTATCTTTGTGGAAGATTTTGAATTTCTAGTAAAGTTTTCCCCTTGGTATCTGGTAATAAAAGCATTGCTATTCCTCCAATAATACATTGTAGAGGACCGATGCCAATTATTATTACAAAAGATAACAAGGTTATTCCAAATCCCAAATTTACAAAAATATTTAACAAAATTAGGGGTATATATTCTAATATTATAATTAAAGTATTAACATGATTCTTTCTGTAATAATTCCAATATTCTGACATATAAGTATAACCAACAGAACTGGAACCGCAACCGAGAAATATGTTATATATGAAGAAAGGTACCATAATTGAGTACATATAAATGCTGTTATAATAGTAGTTTTCTGCAAATATTTGTATTAGGATGCTCATGATTAAAAACAATGCGCTGCCAGTTATTGATATTTTTAGAATAGTTTTCCGTCCTTTTAAATCAATTGCATATATTGGTAAAAAATTAGCTATAAATTTTCCAAAAAACATTAATATTATTTTATATTCAAGATTATAATCTAAAAATAACAAAATTATTGATGTTATTGTAACGGATGTTGCTAATGAATATGAATATCGACATAACAAAATTTTAAATGCTGGTTTCATATCTCTACATTTTAAAATTGAATTCGATTTGTTTTCCAAAATTGTTCTCATATCTGCCATTTCACTTTCAATTTCCGGATTTGTCGGATCTGTTTCTTTCCTTAGTTTGAGAAGAGCATCAGTTGCTTTTTTTTCATGATAGTTTTCCAACAAGACCAATGGTGATTCACAAACTAATAGGTAAGCAGTAATTAATGCGTAAAAACCTATAATAATTGTGGACGCTCCAATTATTAAGTATATGTTTCTTGATAAATTTACATAATCGTTGTTAATAATAACAATGATTGAAATTCCAATTAACAATCCTAAATCAATAGCGAATTGTATGAAGCTACAAATTGATCCGCGCAGATATTTAATTGATATTTCGCCACAATGTGTGACATAAGTTAAAATAGTAATTCCAAATGTGAAACCAGTGAAAAACAGTGCTCCGTGTATTGTTTTTTCAGGAATAGCATATGGACTGGACGGAACCTCTTCAAATTGGATTATAACTGTTCCAGTTAAAATTGTTAATACGCTGGTAGAAACCTGAAATAAATTTCGACATTTATTTAATAGATACATTGAAATCAGAAATATATTGAGATTTAGTTAAATTTTTATTTCATGATTGGTAAAAGATAATAGTAATTTTATGTGCTATTGAAAAGTAATGTTTTATAACGACTACTCATCAATTTATCAAAATATTTTGCTAATAAATGGTTGTTATTATAGCATGATATAGAATTTGCTGAGATTGGTGAGATCATATATGTCAACAATTAATCAAGTAAATATCTGTTTAGTTGAAATATCTAATTAAAAAGATTTAGTTAAATTTTTATTTCATGATTGGTAAAAGATAATAGTAATTTTATGTGCTATTGAAAAGTAATGTTTTATAACGACTACTCATCAATTTATCAAAATATTTTGCTAATAAATGGTTGTTATTATAGCATGATATAGAATTTGCTGAGATTGGTGAGATCATATATGTCAACAATTAATCAAGTAAATATCTGTTTAGTTGAAATATCTAATGTTAATTTGATTGTTTTTTAAAAATGATTAAAATATAATATTTTAATTTTCCAATTTTTGTTATTTACTCGTTATCATATCAAACAACTTTCAGCACACAAACTAAAAATGACAAAAGAACGACTACAATATTCGACTGCTATAATGTATATGAATGCTTTATTTTATATCAATAAATTATAAATTAAAAAACATTAAAAAAACTTGTATGCACTTACATAAAAAATTCTTTTTGGAAATATTGGTAACAACACCGAAGTCAAAATAACACCAACAATTACTCCACCGTAAAAATGATATAGAATTTCAGTTGACAGTTTACTAGTAATTGATGAATAATATAGAAATGACATTGACATTCCACATCCTATGAGAGAAAATATTCCTGGAAAGATTATATAATTTCAATATTAATAGATTTATAAAATTTAATAAATAAAAGCGTTTCAGCCGATCTTAAACCGACTGAATTACACTGAAGTTTGCTACTGTTTACTTTACATTTTTTACATTTCATTTATCATTCGATTGGATGAAGTGAAGGATTGGCGAACATGTCTAAATCAACATAGAATTTTACATTGAAATGGAACATATATTTATGTATATATTTATGTATTAAGAATAGAGAAAACGACTCGATCAAGTACAAGCTGCATAACAAAGTTATGTTTGTTACAAACTCCATACTTAAGTTGAAGAATTAAGAAATAATGTTAAATCAGTTCAAACATGTTTTTTATTCAATAGCTTCTGTTTGAAACGTTAAGTTTTTTTTATTTTGTTTACAATAATAATAATTTGAAGAAATTAAAATTTTTAGTTTAGGTTTATTCTACCTGATGTAAAATTTGTTAACTGCCTTATATGCTTTTTTCTGTATCCCCAAGAATTTATAGCTGGTTCACATTTGCTCTCTGCATGTTGAGCTTCATACATTTTTTAAAAATTCGATCAATGATATTTGTTATATTCTTGCTGTTTGTTTTTAAAAAAATATACGTAGAATTTGTTAAGACTTTACACAAAAGCGTTTGATACAGAACTGGCTTTTGAAAAGCTTTTTAATTCGTTTAAAAATAAAAACTTTTACTTTTTAAAAACAAGAGAAAAAAAGAGAGAGAGAGTTATGTTCATGATCATGAAATAATTAAAAGACATTTTTTTTGCGTTTATTGTGAGTGTAATATCGAAACATTGTGTGATTTCGTACTCATTCTTATTCTTGTCAGTTATTGTTTTAATATTTTATTTCATATAGCAATAAATAGCGAGAAAGATTTACTTATCTCAAAAATTTCATTCTCTTGTCTCTATAATACACGTATCGTTATAACTTTTTCCTAGAAAAATTGAAAAAATGCTTATAATTACACTCTGTCAGTTCGTGTGTCTGATTACAAAACTTCTGCACCTTATAAAAATAGATTTTTAGTGGAAAATTAAATATGAATAAATCTTTGCTGGAAATTTATTTGTGTAGAAGAAAATGTTTACCTACTTCTCCCACTTCTAAAAGTTATAGCCCCACAAAGTCCTAAAAGAGGCATTTTTTTAACTATTTTTTCTAACAAAACCACAAACAATTTTTAAATTCAGCAGAAAAGTAGTGACTTGCTTCTTTAAAAAAAAATGGCCGTTAAAATTTACCGTTTCTTTTAAACGATAAGTTGAGGGAGTCTGTTTGAAACAGCTTTTAAATACAGTTACATAAACAGTTTGGTTTGTTTGTAAAAAATTGTTTTCCACTTTGGTCGCCTCTCGAAATTTGAATGTTCGACATATTTCCTAAACTCCGAGCATTTCCATATTTGTATAAAAACGAAAGATAATATTCAACACCATGTCTCAATAAATGTAGTTACATATTTAACTTATCATCATTATTGAACGCGTTATCCTAAATTTATGCAAGCATTAGAAATATTTTAGAACATGTATGAAAGTATAAATGTACATAATTTAAATAATGTAATATGTAGATTGTTGTCAAAAGCAATATTTTTGTTTGTTGAAGAGAAATATGCCTCTTAGTCTTTACAAACCACTCATTTGTTTTGTATTCTAACGAAATCAGTAACGTAAATTTTGTTTTTCCAATAAGTGATCATTGGTATTTTTTTGGTTATATGATATTATGGAAATGTAATACATATGTTTAAGTAACCTCCATAAGGCAAGTTTTCCTTACACGAAAATATCTCTAAAATAAATTTACATAAAAAAATAAACCTTAAATCAAAAAACATATTTTGTTAAGGTTTCAAGTAATTTAATAATTGTTTTTATGATATGTGTCGAGTGCGTTTTTTATTACTGTTATTAAATTTTATAAAATTATCAAATATAAAAAAACTTAATTCAGTTATTTTAGTGTTTTATTCTCTTTATAGTTTACAAAAAAAAAAAGAAATAAAAAAGAATAAATTTATTTTTGTCTAAGACTTTGAATATCTAATAAACTTCTCCCCTTTGTTTCTGGTAACAAAAAAATCGCTATTCCTCCACTTATAAATTGCAGAAGACTGCTAATAACTAATATTCCAAATCCCGAGTTTCCGAAAAAATTTAATAAAATTAGAGGTGCATATTCCAATATTATAATTAAAGTATTAACATGATGTTTTCTGTAATAATTCCAATGTTCTGACATATAAGTATAACCAACAGAACTAGAACCGCAACCAAGAAATATGTTATATATGATTAGGGTTACCATAATGAAGAACTCTATGTATTTGCTTTTATAGTGATATAATTTTGCAAATATATATACTAAAATGCTTATGATTAAAAACAATGCGCTACCAGTTATTGATACTTTCAGAATAGGTAGCCGTCCTTTTATATCAATTGCATAAATTGGTATAAAATTAAATATAAATCTTCCAAAAAGCATTAATATTATTTTATAATCCAAATTATAATTTAAAAATCTAAAAATCATTGTCGTTGTGGTAGCGGATGCAGCTAATGAATATGAATATCGACATAATAAAATTTTAAATGCTGGTTTCATGTCACTACATTTTAGAATTGAATTCGATTTGTTCTCTAACATTGTTCTCATATGTTCCATTTCATTATTAATTTCTGGATTGCTCGGATCTGTCTCATTTCTTAATTTCATAAGAGCATTAGTTGCTTTTTCTACGTGATAATTTTCTAACAAGACCAATGGTGATTCATAAACAAATAGTTTAGCAGTAATTATTGCGTAAACTCCTATAATAATTGTAAATGTTCCAATTATTATGTATATACTTCTTGATAAATTTATATAATCGTTGTTAATAATAACAATGATTGAAATTCCAATTAACAATCCTAAATCAATAGCAAATTGTATGAAGCTACAAATTGATCCGCGCAAGTATTTAGTTGATATTTCGCCACAATGTGTGATATAAGTTAGAATAGTAATTCCAAATGTGAAACCAACGAAATATAATGCTCCGTCAATTGATATTTGGGGTGTCGTATAATCACTAATTGGAACTTCTTCATATCGAACTATAACTGTTCCTGTTAAAATTGATAGTACTCCGCATGAAATCTGAAATAAATTTAGAAATTTAATTACTATACATAATATATTTAGCTTTAGTTAATATATATACATATACATATATATTTGTATAACTTCAAAGATTTTTTGATAGAAATAAACTGTTATTTTTTTGAGCTAAGTGTATGAAATATAAATTTGTATCTAAATATGAACATGCAATATGCGCAAATCGTTTTCAGTAATCAGTAAGTTAATATTAAACAATAATTGAAAAAGAAGGATTACTGATAATGATAAATAATGGGGTAATAATCAAAGGAAATGAGCGTAAAACAAAATTTATACTTTATTGCTATTTAACTTATGGATGTATATTGTAAGTTAGTATATTTTTTTGAGTTTTTCAAACACCTCACTATTCCTTACACTTTATGCATAGCAAAAAAGTACATAATTTTTGTGCCTAATTTTTGTCAACAAAAAATTTTTTTGGTTAGGAAAAAATTACAAGAATATTTAGATTTGTTCGAATGTTTTGGTATAATCTCAAAATCAATGATAATATTAAATATGTGTGTATGTATATACACCTTAAACTGATTTAATTACATTATCTTGTAACTATAAAATTGGCAAACTTCAAAATTGTACTTACATAAAGAAATTTTTTTGGAAATATTGATAACAACACCGAAGTCAAAATAACACCAACAATTATACCACCATAAAAATGATAAAGAATTTCATTAGTTAGTCTTCTAGTAATTGATGCATAATAAAGAAATGATATTGACATTCCACATCCTATGAGAGAAAATATTGCTGGAAAGATTCAATAAAATTCATTCATTACTTAGTACTGATTAATTATTGAGCATTTTTACATTACTAATAATATTGTGTTATATTTATATTATGATTAAGTTAGTTTTTAATAACTTAGTTTATAATAAAACAGTAGGCGTATTTCAAATTTTAGTTGAATGAAATAGATTGTGTAAAACTTTCTAATATTTTGCTTGTTCACTGTTATAGTGTCGTAAAATTTGTAGGCTGCCAAAAACAAATTTTAGAAATATTGTTTAAAATAAATACATACATATGTACATAAATACATAATGTGCATTAAAGTTATGCACTCGGTATTATTCGACATTTATACTGCAAAATGTTATTCATTCCAACATTCTACAGATTTTCATACTGGAGACTGTAATTTTATTAATTGATTTTATTTTGTTCAACATTTTGAAAATTTATTAATTGTTTTCAAAACGAACAGTAGTTGACTTTGTTTTCTTATTGTTTGTAAAAATTTTTTTATTTACTTTGTAACAATTACTCGGAGAAATTAAAATTTTTACATTGGTTAACTGCATTTAGCATTACACATTAGTTTAAATTAATTTTACCTGATAAAAAATTAGCTAACTGTCTTATATGTTTTTTTCTATATTCCCAAGAATTTACAGCTGACTCATATTTTCTCTGTGCACATTCAGTTTCGTGCATTTTTTATTTATTACTTTTTATTTAGAAAAAAAAAATTGTAAACAAATTAGACAACAACACTTCATTTAAACACGCTCAATTCACAACTGTCAACTGGCCTTTGAAAAGCTTTTCTTTTCATCTGATCAAAATTCTCGTATAAGAAAATAACAAAACAAAATATTTCAAAAAGATAATGTGCTATGTCCGACACACAGAGTTTTTGGGTAAACATTAAAAATTTCTTTAATATGAAATAATGTAAATGCTTATTATTACTATGAGGTAGTGATGCACGTTCTACAACATTATTCATTATTCTTTTTTTAATTTTTGACATACGAGTATTTTAAAGCAAGCGACTGAAGCTTTTATTAAATTTCTCATAAAGCTTTTTTTGCAAAAGTAGAATTTTTACGACGCTGTTATTGTTGTGTTGACTAAAAATATTTTCTAATTTGAAATGAAATATTTTTGCATATATGTATTTCGTATTTACAACTTGTTTGGGTTTTTCAAAGTTTACACTGGTTATGTTATGTTGAGTTCATTTAAAATACATTATGTATATAAAAATTTGTTGTTCTGTTATTTATTGTGATATTGTGATTTCATCTTGGTAAAACCAAACAGAATAAAATCAGGAAATTGAGATATTTACGAATTAGATTTTTAATGACGAGAGAGTTATTTATTTATCAATTAAAAATTTCAACGAAAAAGATATTTTTAAATAATCTTATTATAGAAATAAAGCTTTTACTTCAAAATTATTTTTTAGCGCTTCATCAATAAAAATAATAAACAATATTAACAAAATTGCAACACTTTTATTGAAGTAAAAATGCAGTGATGTAAAAGATCAGTAGAGTTACCATTGTAGCAATTTTTAAAATGAGTGAAAAATAAATTATTCTTAGGGATTAGAGAAGCCAAAATTGAAGGAATGAGTAGATTTGACAATTGGTGTTTTGAAGATTTCAGTCATTTTTCATTATAAAACAAAAATTAAATAATAAAAATTCGTGTCAATTTTAATAGTAACAAATTAAACGAAAAATTCTATCAAAGCCAAACAATTTTTATTTTAATATATCAAATTATGATACGTCTCTGATGTAAAAGAGCAAAAAGTGCAAAATTTCTTAGAGCATTGTGCACGATTTAGATTAGTCGGTCTAAAACGGTTATTTTTATTTGTTCAATATTATTTTTTTTATTCTTTTCTGTTCTGCAACAGAATTTTTGAAGTCTATTTTAAAAACGATAAGTACTTAGTTAACTTTAACATTTTATTAACTTTTTATTGTTAATTTCGACGTTTTCGTTTCATGAATTTTCTATGTTTTCAAGAATGTACAATCGTACTGCATACATACATACATAGAATATATGTACATATCTATTACATATTTTTTATAACATCATTATTTTGCAATGATTTCTGCATTGATAAAAAATAAATATGTATTGATGGCAAGAACAAGATATTTTTAAAGATATGACAAAATTTATGATTGGTTTTTATGTGAAAACGTGAATATAAAATAATGATTGTAACATTCTGAAATTTCTGAACCCAAAGTCCTCGAATACGACATGACACATATGTACGTATGTTAAATTTAGATGAAAAACGTTTAAAAATTGATAAAATGAAATGAATGGTGATGACGCTTCATATAATATATGTATATGGATGTGTACCCACATACACAATATCTATATTTTATATAAGTATGTATGTATATACATAGCTATAAATATTTTGCACATATTGTATATTAGTATAATTTTCGTGTATAATGATTATAAATAATATTATACAAATAATATAAAAAAATTTATTGAATTGGAAAATGCCGAAATAAAATATGTAAAATCTTATCCAATATTCACGTAAATCATATAAAAAAATGTTCTTTCTTTTAATTTATGAATTAGTTTAAGCATAAGTTTGAGTAAAGCAAGTTATATACATCAATTATATTAGAGGAATAGGAGATTTATTAGTCTAAATAAAGATATATGCACTAGAGTGAAAATATTTTGTACTATATAGAAAATTTTTATATGTACATAGAGATTATTCAATCATAATTTATATTTTTGAAATTATTCTATAAATTCACATTTTTTCAATGATTTTGGTTAAGAAAATCAATTAAAATTCGTGGTGTATATTGGAAACGATTGATCTCTTATAATATTATCAAGATACCCGGTTTTTAAATCAAATATGATATTTTAGTTAATAAATAACAAAGGTAAAATCTAACAGGCAAATAATATATTTTAATTATTATTGAGTATTCAATAGGGTATCTAATATTTTTTCACATAAATTTTTAATTTCATATACCTAGGAGCGGTGTTTTCTTGAAATTTTATATATATATGCAGGTACTGTAGGTATTGCAGTTTTCTAATTACAACATATTATATGAAAGTTAGTAGTTCTGATGTTATAAATTTCTTCAAGAATTAAACATGGTTTTCTTTAATTAAAATTGAAATTTTAATTTATCAAATAACATTGTGTACTTCAAACTTTTTAAAACAAAATCAAAGTAGCTAATTAAAGATGTTGAATATATTAAAGAAATATATGTATGTATATACTTATAAAATTTAATATTTTTAAATAATATGAATTTGTTAATGCCATTAATAATTATAATAATTTTTTGTTTTTCTTTCAGGTGAATGCAACAGGTAAACGGAATTCTTGGATAAAATTAAAACTGACTATGAATTTTGTATAATTTTTCCTTTCATAATATTAACATAGGTCTTATATTATATTTTCTATTTAATAAATTGGATGAACCCTGCGTTAATTTTATAAAATTTTAAAATTTGTGAAAGTTGAAGTAATTAAATCATATGATTTTAGTTTTGACTGAATTGATACAAAAATGCAAGAACAAGAGTAGAATCAAAAACAAAAATAGTAAAACTGACGACATAGGATGACATAGGATTCTTCATACTCAGAAAATAAAGAATAAGGGTTTAATTTTGTTGATTAAATGACAAAATTATTAAATTAATTATTGAAAACTAAATTTCAATTTATACTATATATACCTACATACATATGTAATTATAATTAAAATTTTTTTTATTGCATAACATTAATTTATTATTCCGATTTAATATATATTCATACCGTTAATCATATAGGAACTAAAACATCCTTGAAAACTGTGCAAAGTTTATTACAAAAATTCAAACTATGGCACCAGAATAATATTGTATTTCTCTTAAGATACGCGCTGTGTAAAAGAAAAAAACTTAAAATTTCTAGGCAATTTTATTAAAAGTTTGTCACTTATACTTTCTTATACCAAAATATTAAGAAACTGATTTTGACATTGTAAACAGAAATATTTTTTTTTTCCTTTTTGTAAATTAAAACAGGAAAAAATTAATTTATATTTGTTTTAACTCTTTTCTTGTTTTACGCGCTTTCATATTATTTCAAAGAAAATTTATTTTCATTAACTTTTTGAAAAGTAATTAAATTTCTATTTAAATCTATTAAAATGTTTAAGAAAATATCAAGTTTAAAGAATTTTTTTTTGACTGAATGTGCGTGAATTTTTGTTGGCGCGCCCCTTTACGCTATAATGAATGGAATGAATTCGTTCCAGAACTTGAATTATGATTTTTAATTATATTATCTTATTTTCATTCTTTTCCATGAGTTTAAATTATTTTTCGGTGATTTAAAATAATTTTTTTTTTCATTTTTTGACTTAATATGAGTGTGAATAAAATGGGGGTTAAAGTAAAAAAGATTTTCTTTTATTTTCGAGAACGGTAATACTTGAAATGAAAATTTTTCTAATTACATTTTGTTTAATTTGTCAACTTTTTGACAAGATTGTAAAGAAGTCATTCCTTTTTATGTTGCTAAAAAGAATATTAAAGAATAAATTTTTTTTGTATTTATTTTTAAATTTATTCCTACTATTGTGATGAGAAACTGTTTTATATGTTGTATAATTATTTTAATTTTAATTGTTTGTTAAATAAAAACATGTTTAAGATGTTTAAATATTACATAGAATATTAGATTAAGTAATATTGAAAATAGCATGTAAATATATATATTTTATATAGAAGTGAGTTTTTACAATATATATACAATATTTTACATAATACATGAACACATTAGTTATAGCATAGAATAACCTTGAATAATGAAAAATCGGCAGTTAATTAAGTAGACTTTAAAAAATACTAATTGATCTTTTGATGTAAAAATTTGATTTCTAACTTTAAAGAATTCTTAAATGAAATATGTACGCAGAAATATTAAGATAAATAAGGTGAAAAATTTTGAAAAGCAATATTAATTACGAATGGACCAGTACCACTTAGTGTGGAAATTTAAGATATTAAAGATACTATAAATTTATAAGCTAACCAGCTTTTCACTTTATATGAATAATTTTTTATTTTTATCTTATATACTAAAATAGATAAATAAAAGAAATTGATTCACCATTTTGAACTCGACCCAATCAGATAAATAAATTTTATGATTTGCCGGTTTGTTTCCCACTTTCTTTTTTTTGAAATGTGTACTCGTATTATATAACACTATTATTGTTAACAGTACTAGCAATATCCAATGGATGGTTAACGGTATTAAGTAAGTACTTTATGTTGAAAATTAAATTTTTATCTTTGTGTTTCAGTAGCCATTTTGAGTCGCAAATAAAATATTTGTTATTTCACATCAAAGCATTAATGAATACATAACCGACTATTTCTCTCTCTTTTTGCGTTTTAATTGTAGTGCGAAACTATAGGAATACAATAGTAACGCAGACTTAAACGTAATTATTCCTAGTACGTTTTGCGTGTAATTGTCACATTTAACATGCATAACATTACATAATAATAGTATGTAAAGTTAAAAATTAATTGAATGAATAAAAGATGTATATCTAAATTTAATAAGCGCTCAATATCATAATGTTTTTTAAATTTGCTATTAAATTTAATTTTAATTATGAATCTATATTTTTTAAATTATCAAGTCCATTTTGTAAGCTTTTTTGATGCGATTTTCAGAAATATTAAATGTCAT